CTAGTCAGGACCTCTGAGAAACAGATGTAGAGATTCTGGAGGTGACACAGAGCCATGTCAGTGTGTACAGTTGTTAGTACCAGCACTAGTTCATTCGAGGCCCCCATAAAAGTCCCTTACACCACCAAGGCACGTCCACGACTGACATTTTAAAAAGAGCATAGGGGGCAAAAATAGTATTTTTCATCTGCATAAATGATCATCTGAAGCAGAATGCATACACTGCACCTGAAATCTTCAAGGCAAAGATTGAAGCTAAATGTGATTTCCGGAACACCAACCTCTTATCTCACCTCAAAACTGGCAAGTATGGAAATAAAACAAAAGCAGGGATTCCCCCCTTGATATCAGCAGTGAAAGAGTGACTATTGAGCCACAACAGTCTTGAAGCAAAAAGAAACTGTGAAAGGCAGAAGGACTTTGGTTTCCTTCGAGGATGGTGCCCAGAAGAGTAAAAGGATCTCCACACAGCAGCTACAATTCTGCTGGACGAGCTACACCCAACCTAATGACTCAAAGACTAATTAGAACATTTACTTTACAGCCCATTTGCTGCAGTAACAATGAAGCATTATCTAGATACACTTCTTCCTGCAGGGGCCAGCAAGGACATACTGTTGACAGAATTTTAAATGAAAGGAAAAATGAAATTTCCATTAGAGCCTCTCCTAAGCAGATCGGCTGGCACGCACCCCTGTAAGGGCTCAGTACTCCAGCCCTGATCAGCAAAATACTGAGCACATCCTAGAGATTAAGTGTAAGCGGCTTCAGCATTTTCAGCTTTTACACTGTTCATGTCTGTAAGTTAAGCACATAGTTACATGATTTCAGAACACAGTCCTGTACCACTGCCTTTGATTCCAGCAGCTTGAGTGCTATCCATTAGCAGGGTATTCACAGAAGAGAGGAAAAAGAAGCTAATTGCACTGCAATTTATGTTCCTCCTTTCCTCTTGCATTGTAGACAGAATTTCTTATCATTTCTTATTACCTGTGAAAAAGGGAAAACTTGAAAGTTTAATCTGTCTGACGTAAACCTGTCAGTTCCTGCCGTAGCTGAATTTTGTAAATGCTACATTTATGCAAACAGGCTCACTCAAAATTCAGGAGATGCTGGAATATGTACAATTTAATACTGCTTTTTAAACTAGACAATCAGCTTTAATAGTCCTTTCTTGTTTAGACCACTGTATCACTAAAAGATTTACTGCACTAGAGGAGGGATCTGGCACTGGAAACCAGACCCTGCTTTGGTATCTGCCATGGCCCGACTGCCATCTGCCATGACTGCTTTTATTATCTCGGGATGAGGAGCACTCACTGAACTCCCTGGATCTCCTCTCCTGCATTGCCATTGTGGAAGGAGCTCAGGGTACTGGATGTGGGTTTTCCCCACATTTGGTTTGCCAAATGGCCCCACCAGCTCTTGTGCTGGCACAGCTGAGGAAGTCCCGTGGAAGGGGAATGAGGGGCTGGAGGGTGGAAGTCAGCATGTCCTTAAATCAGAGCTGCTGCTGCAGAAGGCAGGAAAGGAAATCTTAGTGCCAACCTTCAGAGAACAGGCAGGCTGCAAACAAGAGTAATTTTTATGGGCCAGACCCTGCTGGTTCTCCTCATGTTGGAAGTAGTCGTGTCATTAAATGTAACTGTATGTGTGAATTAGGAAAGCAGTGTTTGTATTTTTATTTATGTGGTCTCCTGTGCAATAGCCCTGAATGGAAACGCATTTGTTTAGTTTTAAATGCACTCCAAGTTTTATCACTACAAGAGAGGCACTGCCTTCACATGGCCTTTCTGCAAAATAAATATACTGTCTGCCATAAACACACTGTCTTTTCATTTTGGCTCCTCATTACTACATCTTCAGATTTTTTTAATCTGCAATGCAAATAGGCAGGTTGGTGGTCATTACACACTACGCTTCTCTATCTTCTTGAGCTTAATTTAAAACAGATACAATGCTGTCTTGTGATTACATTGGGGTTTGTTGTTGTAAATAGATTTTTAGTGTGGATGCTTATTCTGACTCCATTATTTTCCCTTTCACCCTAAATAAAGTTTTCCCAGATCAGTGTTGCTACTGCAGAGAAATAGATTTTCTATTTTGCCTTGAAAGAATTGTGAAAAAGGAAAATGCTGATGGCACAAGAAGCAATTTGAATCCCATGATAGAAAACATAGCCTTAGCAGAGAACGCACAGTAATAAATAATAGTATAGGAACGCCGGGGTGTTTTTGTTATCAGAAGAGAAATGCAAGGCAGACATTTTTAAACAAATAAATGTTTCCTTTTGCCCTTCTTTTGGTAGTAAGAGGAAGGTGGTCGGAGGCAAGAGAATAGATCTGAAAAATACCTGCCCTGTCCATCACTCAGGAGCGACAGAATGGGGTTTGTTTTTCAATAATGTGCATTGGTTCCACCGTTGTTCACAACACACAGAAAGGACGGGCGGCAGATAGAGGTCAGGCACGATTACAACAAGTCATTTTCCTCAAGGTGCCTCGGCACCCTTCGCTGTTATTTTCATTGTCATTACCCTGTGTGTGGAATGGCAGAGGAAAAGCCGTACATCTTGCTCCTGTGAATGTGTTGGGCTGTTTGTTTTAGGCTTTGCTACAAGTAAATCAGATTTAGTGGGAGTGATTCACCAGGTACATATTCTTCCTTAAGTATAATAGCACCATCCAAGACTGTGGACTTTCAGGGCTGACAAAGCATACATTAAGTGTTATCCAAGAGCACAGTTCGTGTCCTGGGTGACTAGCAGAGCTTATTACATTGCTCTTGATGTAACAGGATGAATTTAAAACTTTCTGAAGGGCTGCCTTGTGACTGGCAAACTACTTCTGACACGCAGCTGAAAGCTGCTGCTGCTTAATGGCTCTTTGGTGACCTTTCAGAAGAGAAAGGATGGCCCCGGTCCAAGTTCTAGCACACAGACATCCACATCGCTACCAGGAGCAGCTCCTGCTCTGAGGGAGAATGAGCTCAATCATTCTCATGGGCAGGGATTTCCCAACCAGACCCCGTCTCTCAGAACTGCTCAACTATATTTGCTCATTCCTTTTCTTGGTGTTACAACTCAGGCTCTAAGCTCACCCCTAGCGATGATGAGATGCACAGATGGTGATGATGATGATGAAGATGATGATGATGATGATGATGATGATGATGCACAGATCACTGGGCAATACCATTTTTCTCATCTAACTTCTTATGCAGATGATCACAGAGAAAAATCAGCTATTACTGCTTATGAGTATTATTGCCACCAAAGTACAACAGAAAGTGGACACGAACAAACGAGCAGACCCATCTGAAACACTCACAGTTTGCCATCATCAGGCCTTCTGGAAGGCTCCACATTACTGACGCAACACCATTAGGAGCTGATTTTTAAGTCACACCATTTCTGTGCTGCAGACAGGCCAGTGAAATGTCAACAGAGAGGAATATTAAAAGAAGTTTGCACTTGTGTCATAAAGAGCAGACAACTTCTTTGGCTGTCAGGGATTGCCATATGTGAAATTACCTCTGTGGGCCAGAATGCAGCCACTGAATCTGTACCCACGGAACCCTCAGACACAAAAGAACGTCCCCACACACCCCACACCCCCAACACAGCCAATGAACAGAAATATTTGCTCCATGTTTGGCTGTAAGGAAATTTCCCATTTCTTTTTCATTCCTCTGGGGGTTTTTCCAGACATTTGGCCAGCCTTGGCTGGCACACTCTGTGCTACTGGACTCTCACCTGCCCCAGGCTGGGGCTGCATTTCCACACTGCATTAGGTAGGGACTGTAAAACAGTCTGTCCTGTAGAATAGAAGTTGTTATTCCTATTATTATTTTTAATGGACAGTTAACTGTAGAACACTGGAACATGCTGACAGCTCATGTCTAATCACCATTGGGCAGCAAAATATGCTGGTTTTACAGTGAGTACACACACCAGCTCTTCTGTTTCTGGTCATCACCAACCATTTGCTGCATCAGAAAGAGAGGGAAATAGCAACCCAAACCAAAAAATATCATAACCATTGGAAATCAGCCCTCTTATTTCTTTGAGCATGAACAGGAAGGAATATACGGGAGTGACACACCAGGGAAGAGCTTACACAGTGTCTTTTTAATGGAGTCAGTCTCCAGTGTATATAGACTGGAAAATATGCAAAGGCACACAATGCAGGGAACTGTGAACAGCCTGCTTGGAAATCATAGCCCAGCAGTGACCATTAGGTCATGTTATTAAAGATGAAAAATGGCTTGGCTTTGAAATAAAAGCCAGTTGCGTCCTATTTAATGTCTTGGTGTGGTTGCAGGAACTTAGAGGCAAAATACAGAAGCTAAACCACAAATATAAACATACAAGGAAACAGCAACATGAGAAATACTTCCTAAGCATGTTAGTAATAAGTAGAAGGAGATAGTCTGGGGAAACAAATCCAGTAACAGGAAAGTACTGTGCTGTTTTGGTTCAAACCTAGGTGCATTAGTACTTTATCTTTGAAATCAGAGTGGCAGGTAAGTGTCTAACAACAGAAAAAGTCAAATAGTGCCAACTTCTAAAGGGCATTATGAGGAAAACCCAGGCTGTGTGGAGTTGGGCTGACTCCCTGCAATTATGAAAACAAGCAAAAAAAAAAAATAAAACCTCACCTATAAAACAGCAGTCTCCCAAAGAGTCACCCTGACTTGTTTCTAGGACAGGTTAATAGGCTTCTGAGCTCAGGATCACTTTTTAGATTAACTTCAGAAAAGCCTTTTACACAATCTCTTGTGACACTGTCAAAAACGAGCTAAGCTGGCACAATGTCGATGAAGTTACTGCACCAGAGCTGAAGCAGTGGCGGCAGCAGCGCTGGAGAGCCGAGAGGAGCCGGGCGGGGAGCAGAGCCCTGAGAGAGCCCCCCCCGGCTGAGCTCAGCGCTGCTGGGAACCACCGGAACCTCGGAACGAAACACAGCAAGGGAATGGGCACGTAATTCCAAACTGGAAGGAGGCACAGGGATTGTGGAGGACAGGATTACACTTCCAAACTTACCTAAACAAACTGCAGATACAAATAAGATACAGTTCAGGGGAAGCAAGTGCAATACACTGCACTTGGGTAGAAATAATCAGTCGTGCTTGCACAGCACGGGGGACACCTAATTACACAATTAATTGTGAGAGATGAAGATGTCACACACAGGATGTATGAAGCAACCTCCCTGAGCCTGGAGCTCTGTGGGGAGTTTAATTCACCAAACACAGGGAAAGAAGCAAGTCAGGCTGAGAGCAGCAAGGAGGGCCAAAGGTTTGGAAACACCCGAGGGGGAAGATGGAGGGAACTGGGTTTGTTTAATTCAGACAAGACTCAAGGAGTCATAACAGTCTTCAAATAACACAGGAGTTCTGCAAGGAGTTACTCTTACTGCCCACTCTGATGATATGTTTAAATTGCAGACAGGAGTATTTAAGGACAAATTAGACAAACATTAGTTAGGAATGACTTGAGTGGGCTGAGGGATCCCTCGGAGTACCTTCCAATCCTATCTGCTGCCCTTGTCTTCTCCACGTTGTTTTTCAACCCTCCAGTAAAGGCATGCTCATTCTGCCCACGAAAATGTAAGAAAGATAACAAAAATATTACTATGATTATTTTAAAATTTATATTAAGGTGTAAAATTTCCAGAGTTATTTGAGGTGAATTTCAGAAACCAGCAAGTCTCCCTTAAGTTACCAAAAATCAGCTGTTATTTGTAGGCTAAACAAAGGTACCCAGACCTAAAAAGGGAAATTATTGCAATTACTGCAGTTGTGCAATTGGAGCAATGACATGTTTGAGGGAGAGAATGTGAGATTCAAGATATTCTGATCATTTTATTGCCATCTATCTGCCCATTTTTAAAGTTTACACAAAACATCAAAGGTACATTACGGAGGGAACTTAGACCAGAGCTTGTCCAGATCAAGTATTCACTAAACAGATGGCAGTGATAATGAAGCTCTGCATGATGAAAGGTAATTAACCTGCCCAAGAGCTCCTGACAGGATCTGTGATACAACACACAAGGACCTGAGGGCAGAGAGGCAGAAATGAGCAGGAGTTTGAATTCCTGGGTGTAGGATGCCAGAAAGCTGGACAGCACCACGAGCTGTTGGGTCTGCACAGAGAGCGTTGCGTTCACAAGGACACCCAGGGCTCGCTCAGCCGCTCAGAAGATGGACAAGGTACAGTTTTAAGCCTGGTCCTGAAAAACAGGATCAGAAAGCATTGCTGGAGTGGCTCTTTGGTGCCCAGCTGCACCTTGGGGTGCCAAGAGCCCTGGGAAGCCCAGTTCGGCCATGCAGCAGCAGGAGCAGCAGTCAGCTCTGAGCATCTTATCTCAGGACCTTTCTCCCAGCAGGGTGTGAAGAATGAAAACACTCTGTTAGTTCAGTAGAGTGTCCAGTTTGCCCCACTCATTATTCTGAGTCTGCTGCCTTTTACCTGCACTCAACTGAAGCATCCTTTTCACGTCATTTTATGTAGATAAAGCAGGACTCACCTCACCATCATGCATTTATTATGTTTACCCACATTAACTTCCCCTTATGTTTACTTCTCCAGGAATTGTTTTTACATTTCTTCATCAGTTTAGTTGCTCTCTTTAGGACCTTTTCTATTATTCCATGTGCCTTCTGAGACAGAATGCTGAGACTGAACACTTCAATACAGGAAAAGCTGTACTACAAATTCCTGTAATGATACTTGTTTTGTCTTAATACAATCTAACATCTCAATTTCTTTCTAGACTGCACTGAAGCCCAGCCTTCCCAATGCTGTTCCCTGCAGTGACCAAGTATTTTTCTCGGAGTTGTTCCAGCTAATTTAGAATCTATCAGGCAGTATGATTAGTTCCAATTGTCCCTTCAGCATCAGTTACCATCAGCTGTCCTCCCTGAAGCTCACCTGTCATTTATTCCTGAGTGCTCAGTCACTGTTTGATCCCCCCTCATTCTTTGTATCTCCCATAGCTAACCAGCCCTCTGTAATTTCACCTTGCCAACAACAGGGAAAAAAAAAAAAAAAACCCAACAACCTATTTATTCCCTTTCCAGAGAGTTTTCACAAGTTCCAGTTTGGGTCCTTGCAATGCTCAACTATTAATCTTTTTCTCAAGTTCTTATTTCTCCCCTTCTTAGAGCTCCCTAATCCACAAGAGAACTTCCTTCTTATACTGAGATAATTTTTTTAGGGGGTGACTTTATCCACATAAACTGTATTTACTATTGTAGCTACAAGATTTCCCGTCTTAAAGTAATGAAAGAATTCTAATAGACTGCAAAGATAATGTTTTCCTTAACAGGAACCATTTTGATTCATTCCTCGATAACAGTTTTATCAAAATGATTCATAAAACCCCCTACCAGCAGGATCTCTGCATTTCTTGGCTTTAGCAGCCACAAGGCTCAGACTCACTCACTCGAACCATTTGTACTCCCTGCATTTTCTGCTCTTCCCTTTATCTATTTGCTTTATCTTTATGTTTGCCTTTCACTTAGATTTCCAACTATTTGAGGATGGCTTTTACTCTGTTTTATATTTGGACAATGTACAGCACAGTGAGACTGGAGCCCACACACACAAGAAGCACCTTACAAAGACAATAGTGACTTATTGCATGGAAAATGTTTCAAATAAAGTGATTTACTGCTTATCAAGTGCAAACAGACATTTCTATTTCTTCTGCTCATGTACTTCTCTGCTCAGTCCTGCTACTAATAAAAATAATTCTTTCCTCTCCCAGTGGTTTTCTAACATCAACACCTCACTGATCCAAGAGAATGCCATTCCTAAATTAACTCTACTGGATGTGCAAGAAATGAATCTGGAGACCTCTGCCTATGCAGTTACCATCCTTAGACTTAAGATGGTATCAATTCAGACAATGATTTTTCTTATCTCCACTTCAGAGTAAGTTTTCTCCTTTTCCCAAGAAGCAATTCAGTATAAAAACTTAGGAAATTCCCTCATCTTGGTACCTGCTTCTCCACTGACAATGAGGTAAACTGCTTGTCCGCAGAAGTAAAGGATGCTTTAATTATTTTTACTGAACAAAATGTTATTTACACAGTACTTAGTGCTAAACAACCATCTATGGCAGGTGAGACAATTCCCTGTGTGACTGTGTTGTGGTAGGAGGAAGAGTAGAGATGAGTTTGCAGCAGAGCAGATGTCCAGGGTGCACTTGGAACGTGACAGGCAGATGAGTCACAACCAAGGAGCCCATGCCCACTTCCACAACTTGATTTGTCAAGGCAGGAATACGAGATCAAAGACCTGCAAATGAAGAGGGATATCTCATAGGAAGAGAGGATGGAGGTCAGCTCATGGACAGAGGAGAGATTCCAGGGGAGTTTCAGGGAATGGCATGGCTACAGGACACCCCTAAGGCAAGTTACAGATGGCACTGCTTGTGGCCAAGAGGCTTTCACTGAAGTGAACATGATGCTTTAGAGAAACTGTACAGTCACTGCCCTTGGAGAAAGCAGAAGTACAAGATCTGGGATTAAGGCAGATTCACCTCTCTACACACCAGAAGAGAAAGAGAGAACTGTATGATCCCTCCTGGAGACAAATGGCAGGGAGAGGCTGCCTTGGAGAATGGCAGATTAGAGACAGGTTCTAGAACCTGGTGACTGTCACAGGTGAGCAGAGTCAGAGCAGAGTCACTGCACCAGGATCTGCCTTGCCAGGGAAGTGCAGGTCTGAGCCCTCTCACCAAAAACACATCTGCCCACCAATGACACAGCCTGTCAGTGACTTCACTGTCAAACTCAGCAACTCTTCAACAGAAGGAAACCCAAACACCTTCCCTGCCTTCCCAAGAGGCCTGAGCTCATCTGGTGTGAGCCACACAGGTCAGCCCTGGAAAGGGATGAACTCTGTGCAGAACCAAGCCAGCAGCTATCCCAGCTTTCCTCTTCTTAAACACTCTCTGGGTTAAGAATGTCCAGAAACATTCTTATCTCTGTGTAAAGACTACCCTGGAAATTGAAACAACAAATATGAAGCATAAAACAACTCAGTTTAAAATCCTTGGTTTGCTAGTAGAGACACAGCTTTAGATTCTGTTCTGTGGCTCTATCCAGAGCCAGAGCTTCCCTCGTGGGGCACTGGGGGCTGGCAGTGCAGCTCACTGACACCATGGCAGGAGCAGACAAGGAACTCTGCTCAGCACTGACAGGGATGAAATCTCTGGTTCAGTCCCCAGCCAGGATGAATTACCCTCCTTTTCGTCTGAGTGTCTGCAGACCTTTGAAGTTTTACACACCAGCTTATTGTGGAAGAAAAAACAGAATAGCACTGAAGAAGAAATTAAACAAGGCCTGATGAAATGGGACCATCTCAGGATAGTGAGAGGTTCCAGTAAGCACAACATTCAGCATAACCTTAAACTCTAAACCACTCTTGCCAACAGGCTTGTTACAAAATGTGGGAATAAGTGGGTTCACATAAAGGAAGACAGTGGGGTCACAGGTGATCAGTTCTATCAAAGACCCCTAAAAACTCTGAACTTTGGTTTCTTGTAAGAATGTCAGTATTAAATGAATTTAAGAAAATCAACCCAAATAAGCAAAAACAAAGATAAAACCACACACCATTACATCAATTGACATGACTGACTGACAGATTGTTTATGATCATACTGTAAACATTAGAATCCGGGTCTGGAAATGACCAGGAGAGATTGTCTAAGCACACCCTATTCCTACACAATACCAATGTGTAACACTTTGCATCAAGGGGTTCAGAAAAACTTGGCCATTGTTTATGAAAACACAGGTTTTCACACAAGTATTTCATATACTTTTCAGAATGTCTTGTACTTCAATATCTGATGAAATATCATATTATTCTCCTACACATAAAACTGGGAAATTGGCAATAACTGTTTCACAAGGTAAACGTTTAAAAAGTCTCCACTAGGTAAAGCTTACAACTCATAATTCACGTAAAACCAAATAGCTGTCTGAAATAATTTCAGCACAGTCTTCATTTTAAATGAAGGGTAAGTGTATGGCAGCTCTGCTCTTACATCTATTGTTTGTTTCACAAAAGAGTAAGTTAAAAGAGGTCTGGAAATGCTCATCACATACAGTCAAAACTGACTTGGCATTTTCTTTCTAAACCGTTGTTTTCAGAAACAGCAGCTTTGAACTTCACCTTCTGGGGAGAGTTGCTCATGCTTATTCTCAACATAAAAGCAAACGATTCTTGAGGGAAAATTTCAAGCCAAGCAGTGTTTTAGTGAGCACGTGCAGGAAGTGCATCAGGCACTCAACAGTGTGCTGCCGTCACCCGTCAGGTCAGGGATCCAGGCTCAGGCACCTGCCCTTGCTCTCCCACCTGTCCCTGTGCCCAGGGCAGGAAAGGAGCCGCAAACACAGCTTGCAATCCCTCCTCAGGACGTGCTCCTGGGTTTTCAAGCCAGTGATATGACCTTGAAATCATGTACCCAGTGTATTATAAATAAATCCGAGCCAGAGCTCAGGCTGCAGGCTGCAGGCTGCACTCGAGACACAGCAGGCACACACTTTGTCTCAGCTGGACACAGGAAGATCAAA